GTAAGAGCAGGTTAAATAGAAAAATGCGGAGCCAACATGAACTTTGACTGCAACAAATTCAATTCCGTGAATGTTATTGAATGGGAATAGCTCAGATGAGAAAGCAGATTTAACTGCAATCAGAACCCCACCTGCAAAAGATGGGCGGTCCATTCTATAAATAGTGTAACTATCAATGAAAATTTCATGATCATTGACATAGGAGTTAAGCCAGGTTTCGGTAAACGCGATGGCATCGAAATCAAAGGACGCGCTATTAGTATGAATTTGACGCAATTTGCCCAGCAAACTGCGAACGTTCTGATAGTGCATGAAAAAATAGTACATCAGTTTTTTGGAGCATGTTCGGTAATTCTTGGATTCGAGTTCGAATCTTTGAGAAGGAACTCATGCATAATTGTATGCTCAGGCCATATTGACGGTTTTAGAGAACTGGATAGTAAAGAATCAGGGAGAAGAATTTTAAAGGATGATATGTTGCGCTTATGTTTAAATGTAAATTTAGTCACAGCTATATCAACAGGCGAAGTGTTAAGTTTAGAGGAAAGATGTTGTTTAACATCTTCCGTTGTAGCCTCAGGAATAAGACGAGAAACAAATATTGCTTTCCGAGGGACCACTGCTCTAAGTTGAAGTCCCGAGCGAGACGAAATGGTGGAGCCACTCCTAAAAGAGATCTCGGTCCAAGGGCAGAGGAATTGGCAGCAATGGTTGTAACAGGAATTTGAGTAGGAATTGGAGCAGGAATTGGAGCAGGAATTGGCAAGACATCACCAGCAACCAACACACCCGCACTAGGAGCACTCACCGCGTCAGAAGTGACGGCCACAGAAACTGCAGGGATGGGATTGATGTTGTTGTGAAGTTGGGTGCTCGAAGGAAGCACATTGCTCGGTGTAAAGAACTCCGGAGCCACCGTTGGCGGATTTACAGACAACGGCGTGGCATGACTACACGGAAATGCTTCCGATGGATGAAGGTACCAATCGGATTAGGTTGCAAGAGATTGGTATCATTATGCGGAATTTTCCATCTAGGCGATTCGCTCAAGAGTTTGATCCCAAGAAACTGTGATTCAAGGGCAAGAAAATTCTCGTTGAGAGCCACAAATTGTTTCCGGACATCCAGAAACCCAGTTCGAGTCTGTCTCATAAATGTGCGCATTTCGGCCTCAATCTCCCGACAAGCCAGACATGACCAAGACAGGCCAATGCGTTTCGAGATCAGATCATTCAGCCGGCCAAAATTTCCACCACCAGCACATTTTATGTGGGCAAAATTGTCGCACAGCCAGCAGCTAAGAAATGAATCACCAATGATAACACCACCGAATTCACATTTCTTTGCACTACAAACGATTGCCATTATTGACAGCAGTAGAATCACTGTGCACGAATAATAAAAGAACGGAGTGAGATCGCAGGTAAAGTAGGAGAGCAGAGAGCAGAGCGAGCCAGATGATGAGATGCAGATGATCCAACGAAGTGCAGAAAACGAGCAGTAAACTCACCAAAGCAGAGACACAAAAGAAAGAAAACTCCCCAGAGAGGGAGAGTATAGGCAATCCAGAGAGAGTGAGAGCAACAATGCGAGCAGCCCGCTTATGCTCACGAGAGAGTGTGGACGATGCAAACGCTGATGCGCGAGAACAGTTCACACCGAAGAAGCGATAACGAAAAGCAGAGTGGGCAAAAAACAATAACAAATTGCCTGCACGAGTCCGATGCCTTACGTTGGAATATTGAAATTATATTAAAAACTTGTTTACAAACAAAACACTGGTGGTTAACACAAAATAGAATCAAATTAAAGAGATGCGATAGTATATCAAAACAAAGTCACAACAATGTTGTATGATATTTAGGCAAAGGGCGGAGAATGCGGGAGCAAGAAAAAAACACAACCGGCTTAAGCAAGAGCTAGAAGCTAGAAGCATCACCACCGTCAGGTCATCCGTGCTGTAATGAGACATAAGATGAGCATGGATTCCCTTCCGTACGAGTTCGGCGGTTCTGTTCCTGCTTACCGATGTTGAGTAGAGAAGGCTGTAATTTGAGGACTTTAGTCCGGCCACAGAGTTGCCTGACGCAATCCACGGCTCCTGGACTAAAGCTATGTCGGCGGGCCCTTTCTCCATGGCAATGAGGAGCTCCGCCGACGCTACCTTGCTTTTATGGAGATTGAGTTGCAGCACCCTTAGTGTCATGGGTAGCTAACTCAACCTTGCACGACGGGTTGACTATGATTGTCAGGTCACCGTCCTCCTCCTCCTCCGAGTCGTCCAGCGCAAGACCCTGGGCGGCCTCCACTATGGTCTACCCCCCCTCGTTGGGTAGTGGGCTACCGGCATGCAGAACCTTCCAGTCAGCCGTTGGCACGTCCGGATTTTGCCTCTGCAGCAGCTTCAGTGCTCGCTCCCCCTGGACAGCAATGGGGAAGAGCACCTTTGCCTTTGGTATGGACGGGATCAGCTCCCTGTCTACCACCTCCAGCTTGGCCCCCTCCCACAGAGCTTCCAGTAGGGGCACCTTCTGCACCAGCCACTGCCGCGTTGGGTCATCGTTGCACTTGAGGATTTTGACCCCGTTCAGCCATCCCGCTCCATCGAACGTGGGCATGGGAGCTTTAGGGTCCTCCTCCATTCGCGAGAACAGTGCCTCGACGAGCTGCGCGTGGACTAACTTCCACTGCGCCGCCGTCATCTTCCCGTTCTCGTCGCTGCGATCGATCAAGGCCACAATGAGATGTCTCTTGGACACCTCGCTCATGGCCTTCTGTCTCGGCTTCCTCGTCTTCGGCTGGGGGGTGGCCACCTTGGGCCCGCGTTGCCGCTTGCTCGCCGGAGTGTCTTTGGCAGCACTCTCGATCAAGCGTTGCCTCTTGGTGGCCAACATCTCCTCCACCTTGTTGGCGAATCCACCGTTTGTTGCCTTCATCTGTGGCAACTGCGCGTAGTGTTCGCGGCCCTCCTGTACCCGTTTCTCAGCCCAGGCTAGCTTGGACTTCTCCTCTTGGGAGATATCCGCCTTGCCCCGGAGCCGGCTCAGTAACTTGAGGGCCGCCTTATACTGAGCTTTTGCCTTCATCCCCTCCCTGGAACGCTTCGGCCCTTCCCTACGCAGGGAGCTGGTACCTGGTTCCGGCGAGCGGAGAAGGCTTTCCTCTTCGGTCTTGCTAATGGATAGCACGCTCTCCAGGTCCGAGTCTGCGACAACGGCATCAGCGCGGCTCACACTGCAACGCGTCGTTTTAGTGGCAGTAGTATTACAACTGACATGACCTGCTCATGCCATGCCCGAAGTGTGACCGCTGGCGACACGCAGAGAGGATTGCTCCTCCCCGTGCCCGCCGGTGGTAGCAGTCACTTTCCACCGACGTTTGGGTTGACATCCAAACCCGTGCTTGCTCCTTATCTGCCTCCATATTTGGCCCGAAGGTCTATACCGGTTAATGTTTTTCGGGGGGACCATCCCCTAGCGTTTTATGCCTGACCGCCAGGCACCTCTAGCCATGGCCTTGGTTCAGTTCCCCCGACTTTAGATCGGGAAGACGATGAACCATAGCCTTAGCTAGACACTGCATTACCCCGGGCAGGACAAGCGACAGTGCATTATCCTCGCCCGGGATAATGCAGTGCAGACGGACCCCAAACTCAGCCTACAAGTTCCGGGAGTCATGGAGGGCAAAGGCAGCACCTCTCCGACATCGATAATTATTGGTCATGCATCGGACCACTGCCCGCCCGATCCCGCCGTCTCCTCTGCCTCTCGCGTATCTTCCTCTCCGAGAGCGGGACACTTCTCCTCTCTGGGGGCCCTTGGCCCCTTCGCCGCATCCGGATATCCGCGGGTATCTGGACTGACGTTCGCCTTATCCGGCCAGCCATCAGCCTTATCCGGCCGGTCCTCAGCCTAATCCGGCTGTGCTTCGGTCGAATTCGGCCTGTGGGAACCGCGGTTCCTCACAATCCCTATCAAGAGTTATGGGGTCTGCTACTTGTACGTTACCAAAAACGTTGTTGAAGAATTTCGAATGTGACACAAACTTTCTCAATTCGAATCCTCCTTTTTGTGAATGTCAACTATCTCCTTCATAACTCTCACAGCCGTTTCTTCGGATGAAAAACAATGAACCAAATCATAATGGCATTTATATTTTTCCCGTATTGAACAAGGCCGGCGAACATTTGCTCCAAAGGTCATGACCTGCATTTCATACTCATTCATCTAGTTGCCGGGATTCTTCCTCCATCTATCCTCCTTTCGAAATATGACTTGGTGGAACATTTCTGCTATATCAGCGCAGACTCCAATCGGTTACTGTCATCAGGAATGAGGTACAGGGACTCTTGTGAACCAACCAGCATGCCTATACCAAAGGGTAGTTCTGTCTCCTGAACTACTTTCGCTAAAATTTTGAAAAAGCCGTTCACAATAAAAAGTATGCACTGGGAGTACTTGTTTTCTTTGTTTCCCAGTTCCGTTATGCGGAGGACCAGTACAAAAAGCGTATCATTGATTCAGTCATGAGCACCTACTCGTAAATTTCATGCGTGTCATTCTAGTACAGATTATACATGTAAATGTCATGTGTGTCATTCTAGTACAGATTATACATGTACAAAATTTCAATTTTCTATGAGACTTGCTCCCAAAAAATCGACTGTTTTCCTTGCTGGGTTAAAGGCAATATGGCTAAACAAATCTTGTCCGATTCTTACGCGTATTTGCACAATTGGTATATTAAGCATTCGAGGTAGCGAATTCCTGTTCACTCATTGACGGTATCCTCCACAGCTTTATGCGATTGTATTACAAAATTATTGGATCGATACTTTTTGAACGCCTACTGAGTTGGCTTACAATTTTTCTTACCTATTTTCTGATTTGGTAAGTTGAGCAGTAGTTGAATGAAGATTCTTTTAAGCTACTGACATGATCCCCGGCAGTTGTACAGGCGTATGGAGCAATCTTAGGCGATGGCAAAATTATTTTGGATATTTCCCTTGTTGGTAAGTTAATAAGTAGAGGAATGCAAATCCTCTTGGGCACTGACATGATTCCTGACAGTTCTACAAGCGTCTGCAGTCCTCTGATGCTATCATGCTCTACCGCCTTGGTAAACTTGCTTTCAAAGTCTTTCTGTTATTTCCGCATTTGATAAGATCGGAAGTAGATTTTGCAAATATTTTCAAATAATATACTGCAACCTCCACAGGTTTATGTACCACTGGACTGCCTTCTGGTCCAGGCGTGTGGTAGGTTGCTACCTTTACCAGAGCGACCTCGCTGTCTGGCAGAAAATCTATGGGATGCCGGATACCGGTCAAGTCGTCTTATTTAATGGTTGGCACAAGTCAAGCAGGGTCGTGTGCGACGACTGTCGGATGAATCGCGTGGGTCAATTGATTGACCAGGCAAAAGTATGCCTGGATGTGGTGCTACTGTCTACCGCCAATGTCAAGTACATTGACCGCATATTGGCTGCACATATTCGGGGTGTCACCGTGCGCGTTCTCGCCAGCGACAAAATGCTCGCGGCTAATGGGCCAGCAATGAAGCTACTCTGCGCCTTGAGTGTGCAGGTGCGCTGCTACTCAATCGGAGTAATATTCGGGTACAATTTTGCTATAATAGACAGTGAAAAGCGAGCCCTGGAGATAGAGGCCAAGCAGGATACGGTCCACACGAGTCTTTGGCGACTAAGGGGTAACATGAAAGGGTGTCTAAACTGGATCCTACTGGCCGCGTTGCAGAAAAGTGATTATAGGAATGACAATCGCCACTACCAAAAATTTTTTGATGAATGGAACTTCTTATATCCTGTCACCCCGTCCTACTTCATAGCATATAATTTGCGTTCACCGCAGCATAAAGCATAGATCAATTGGTTTTCATCTGTTTTCATCTCCGCTTCAACCGTTATATAAATATACAAAGAAAACCCACCTGCTTTTCCTTTCTGTGACGACTGCTAGGAGTGAAACTGGAATAGTCGTTGGATAATTGAGCCCTCGATCCGTCCACCAACAATAAAAGGAATAAAAGGAGAATTCCACCTCAGCAAGCACCGGTGGATAATTCCCAATTTCCAAGATAAGTACGGATTCCCCATCTGCCCATCTTCAGCGTCTCCTTACCTCCTGGTCCCAGTCGGCTGGACATACATATATACATGCCGCTTCTTTCCTTTCACCGTTCTATCGACGGATCCATATTATCGGCAATTGCTGGCGTTCTCCGCTTACTCGAATTTTATCCGCCGACTCTTACGTATACCCAGCACCCGTATACACATACACATCAGCATATTATCGGTGAATAACAAGAATTTATTTTGTAGATATATTTGGAAAAAAGATATGTTTTCCTATTAGTGAAGTGCAAGTGCTGACAAAACCTATGTTGCAGGGCTGTTGCCATGGCTGATCACAAATGCTCCAGCATCCGACATCTCGCTTCCAAAAATGAGGGCATGTTTGACCAAGGTTGCCAAGGTCTGAAGAGCACGTAAGTGTCGCTGAGCGCGTGTAAGCCGATAGCCGAGCCCCTCTCCAACCCTTGCAGCCCGAAAATAGCCTTAAGGTAACGCCATGTCGTAATTTTGAAAATATTAAAAATTCTCGATGATTGGGATACGATTGGGTTTTTGCGCACCATTGACGAGAACATCGAGTTGAATTCTGGCCAATCCATGTAGGTTCCACCAAATCGAGGAAGCTGCAACTCGGGCATTCGAGAACGGCCCCCAATATCATATGCGAACAAAGACGAATTCTCCTCGAGACTATGGCGAGCCGTTGAATGAGCGGTATTAACCGTGCGAGCAGCCATCAACTCCCGCGACAGTGATATAAACTTTATTGCGCGAACTCCAAATTGCAAGTGTAGCTTGCCTGCCATTGCAGCTCCGATCGCTAAGCGCAGCTTCGCTCGGCAGACGTGGGTAGGCCGACACAAAGCGGAGATGACAAAGAGCGAGCTTGCAGAGAACGCTTAGCAGGGCAAGCAAGCGCAAAGCTTTAACAACCATTTGAGTTACATAGGCATTAGTAATAAATATAATAAGCGGCTGAGGGCCAATAATTGCTGCATCACTTCTTTTCCACTCACGTTTTCTTTTCAAAAAGAACTGATCTCGTGCTGCCCATGCCTTATAAGTGCTCGTGCCGGTGCTCACCGTTCCATGTAACGGTGCTTTAAGTCGGCCCTTTGCACGGCTCTCTCTTGCCTTTCAGTTTGCTCTCTTGTTTGTTCCCGTTTGAAAGTTAGAAAGCACCGTTTAAAAGTTATACGCGCCTCCCCCCGCGTTAACCCTAGGGTGACCCTAGGCTTTGTTAGCTCTCCTCTTATTCTTTTTTATACCCGATACTCAAAATGAGTATTGGGGTATATTAGATTTGTGGTGAAAATGGATGTGTGTAACGTCCAGAAGGAATCGTTTCCGACCCCATTAAGTATATATATTCTTGGTCAGCATCAATATCCGAGTCGATTGAGCCCTGTCTGTCTGTCCGTCTGTCCGTCCCTATCATCGCCTAGTGCTCAAAGACTATAAGAGCTAGAGCAACGACATTTTATATCCAGACTTCTGTGATATGTCACTATTACAAGAATGTTTCAAAACTTTGCCCCGCCCACTTCCGCCCCACAAAGAGCGAAAATCTGTGGCATTCACAATTTCAACGAGGGGAACGTTGTGAGTTGCTGCTTACACCGCAACTCTACAGTTATACCCGATACTAAGTCAGTATGGCTCTCCTCCGGCAGACGGCGCTAATATTAAACGAAACGACAAAGAGTGCGTGCGTGAGAGACAGAAAATCAGTCTGAGCGTGACGTCGGGCGCTGCGTAGCCACTGCAAATTGATTTGTTTCTTTTGGCTATAAAAATGATCCGATCTGATCCAGACTGAGCAACCGGATAGATATGGTAATTCTCTATGATTCTGCGTTTTTAGTTTTCTCGAATCTCCAATATTGTGGATGCAACAGATTCTCGTCCTTTGTGTGGGCGGAAGGGGGTGGGGCGAAATTCTGAGATATACGTTTTATAGATCTATTAGAAGTGCGGATACCAAATTTGGTTACTCTAGCCTTAATAGTCTCTGAGATTTGTGGTTGCCCCAGATTTTCGTCCTTTGCGGGGGCGGAAGGGGGTGTGGCGAAATTTTGACACAAAACGGTCAAGGTCCGATATCACAGGAGTGTGGATACCAAATTAGGTTGCTCTAGCTCTTGTGCGCTGCATGCGAAAGAACGAATTTGCAAATTTGCATCCGGATGTGAGATCAGTAACTCGATTTGCCACGAAATGGCTTCACTTAATTCCAGCTTAGGAATCGATAAAGTCTTTAGTGGCGCCACTCGCGACTGTAAACACAAAACGTGGCTCGAAGACTGGGCTTCCCTGGACACGACATACACGCAAGCGCCATATGCTTCTAAGCTGGCATCACAGAATTCGTGAACTTCTAGCCACACTAGAACGAAGAACCAGCGAGAAAATGAGATCCGAGAAATGGTTGCCAAACTTTTTTCAAGTCTATCCAAGTTGAAACAACGCTGAGGGTAGGATTTCATCCCAATCCAAATTTTCTCTCCAAAGCTGCTGAAGGAAGATTTTGCACCTGACAATGACTGGATTTATCAATCCAAGAGGGTCGTAGAACCGCGCAATCGTAGATAAAACCGTAAAACAGTAAAGCTGATCTTGTCCATGACCTGTGCCACCGAATTACCGCCCGAAATAAGGTCATCCACGTAAAACTCCTTTCGCAGAGCAGCTGAGCCAAGAGGGTAGGGCTCACCCTCGTCGATGGCCAGCTGGTGCATTGCGCGGACCGATAAAAATGATGCAGCTCTCGTCCCGTATGTGACGGTGTCTAATGTGTAGACTTGAACCTCGGACTCGATGGAATCTCGCCATAGAATACACTGATACAAATTGTCGGGTGGAGACCCTCGTAGGCAGCGGTACATCTATGCAAATCTTTGAACTCCCTCATAAAGGCGGAATACCGCTCCTTGAGTCTAGGATTACGCTCCAGTTTACGCTCCAGACTGATGAACCGTCGATAAGCCTAAGCATAAGCTTCTCCTAAGCGAACATTATTGTTCTTTAGCGGCAAACGAACTGTATGTTCCCCGGACGGCAACCGTTAAAGGTGTCTCACGAAATGTGCTTCACAATCGTCTTCTTCTTTGGTATTCAAACACCCTCCACACAATTCTCGACTTCCCAAAACATGCGAAGAGTTTTATCGAACCTTGCTTCCTTCTCAGCTTCCGAATCTGGACAATTGTGAGTTTTAAAAAGCGCCGAGCCTGATACCTTCTGTCCACCGCCAGATACGATCCACCCAAGCCTAGTCTTCTGCAGAAGATTTCGTGCGGCACTGGATAGCAGCAGCCGTTAATAGCTCTTAAGTCACGTCTCTCTTAAGTTTTCTGTTATCGCGCTCAGCCTAGGTACTCTCTCAGTGCACGCACACACCTATTTAAAGCTATTACTTGTTATAAGCCACTGCTTCGACCCTTCCTTCTGTCTAGTCGTTTTATCGAACCTTGCTTCCATCTCAGCTTCCGAATCTGGACAATTGTGCGTTGCCAAAAGCGCCGAGCTTGATACCTTCTGTCCACCGCCAGATGCGATCCACCCAAGCCTAGTCTTCTGCAGAAGAGGCAGGCCATCGGTGAGTTTGATTTGCCCTACGCAGAGGAGATCATAAAAAACGCTCGCAACAATGAGAAGATCAACCCGTTGAGGATTGAAAAATGCAGGATCAGCGAGCTGAATGTTAGATGGAATACTCCAATCGGATACATTTATTGTCATACTTGGTTGAGAATCGGTAATCGTGGGGGCGATGAGAGCAGTTAACGTAGTTGTGTAAGCAGAGGTGTGAGAATGCATACAAATGCTTATGCTGGATCCATCAGTAGAAACGCTGGTATCGCCCAGCCCAGACACAAGTGAAGACGATTGAGTTCTCCTGAGCTGAAACTGCTGGGCGAATCTGGATGTGACGAGATGCCGCTGCGATCCTGAATCTAAGGTGGCACGACAAGGAACTATAACGCCGGACCGATTCTTAACGAGAACCACTGGTGTAGCCAGAAGCACAACATCAGAATGAAGACCTTGGGCAGCAAGAGAGGTAGACGAATGTCGAAGCGAGCTGCTAGCAGAATTTTGAGCATCGGAAAGAGCTTCTGGTTGAGCAGCCAGATCGGGAGGAGTAATACCTTGGCAGCTTTGTGTTGTTGGCAGCATAGTAACGAAGTGCAGAAAACTATGATACCTACCATAGTTAAGCTTCTTCACTTCTTTGCGGCGCAGCAACGGTGAAAAATTTCCGAATATCTTGCACGAGTATATTCCATAGCCCGATGAGTGGCAAAAGAAGCATACAGATGGGTCGGCGGAAGAGTTGAAAGCAACAAACGTTTTTTTAACATGCGTATAGGAATGGTGTTTTTCCACCTGATCGCTACTAGCGTGTGTCGTTGTAGCGTATTCCAAACGCTCACTTGTAGGTATAGCGTCTGACGATGTGTGCTCCTCCCACTTGGTTTGCGTCTTCGAATCCATCATCTGCAGAATTTCTCGATGTCACTTAAATCCGCATCCGAATCGAAGCTTTCGCGCAGCTCACTACCAATCTCGTTTTGATCGAGAGCCTCCAATTCATTATGGGCCTTATTGAATTCCTCTAGAATTTCTGCCAACATATCAATGCGCACCTCGACTTCCGCGGCGGCCAACTTGTTGATTTTATTCCCCGCGAAGGATTCGCCAATCCTGTGCAATCGATCATATAATGACTGCACCATCACAATATTTCTGGCCGTTCCTGCATTCGGATCGTTGTCTAAAGCA